ACATAACCACCAAACAATAGCTTCGCATCTTGAATTAATTGACTGGAGAAGTGACAGAGAACTAAAGTCAGAGAAAAATATTTCTGTCCCAGAATCAGTCTTGCCTGTTCCAACAATAGCATGTGATTTTCTGCTTTGCTAACTTCACTGATACTCACTGTTCCCTTAATGTTACTTTATACTCAAGGGATATGAAGCATTTGAAGCAGTTACTCAGTATCCTCTGCTTGTGCAGTAAGCACAAAAGAATGGAAATCAAAGTATTTATTTTCATAAACTTTCCAAAAAAATAATGCTTATGGCGGCTTTACACCCAACACAATTGAATGTTAAGCAGGTGAAATATGATAAACTATATCTTCTGATTCACAGGCTACAGTGACAAGTCTCAGGGTCTTATTTTATCTTGCAAATAAACTTGAACCAGCAAGTAGACTGTTAGCTCCCTGCCACTGTGTCACCAGCTGCTGGCAAAAGGGCACCAAAAGTCTCTCACTTCCTTCTCTATATGGAAGTGCCATTTGCACTACAGAACATCTCACCCATGAGGATTTTCATGTCTTTTCAGTCATTAACCTTTAAAGTGACTTCTTTGAAAAGAAGCTATTTTAAGTAGCATTTCCCTGTTCCAAAACAGCCTCTGGTGATTTAAAAAGTAATTTCATATGAAGAATGACAATGGATTATGCCCAAAGCAATATGCTGTATATCCAGAAGGCACCCCAACTGGCTAAACAAACTGGATATAGGCTTTATTTAGAACCCACTGGAGCCTACAAGATGCCTTCACTTGCCTTTGACGAGTTTGGAATGAGCACCCAATTCCCACAAGTAAGCTTCGAGCAGTGTTACAGATCGAAGGACTGACACTGGATCCTCCTCAGGTTCGTAACAGGATTGTTTTCCAGCAGCAGCAAAAGCTACCTGGCTATTCAGGCTATTAGCTCCTTTATACATTCTCTCTTCTCATCATCTTAAGAGTAGGAGATTGTATTCCTCTAGGAATAAACCGCATCTGCCATCTAGCATAGCCCATGGAGTCTTTTAGTGACTTCACTTTCAGCTAAATTATCTTACCTCTTTTTCAAAGCACAATTCTACGGTTGCAAAAGATGCATTTTTAAGCTAAGCAACAGATGTATCCATCTTTTACTCATGCCATCTATACAAGAATGAGACTTTCAAGCTTAAAGAGGACTACAGAAAGTACTATTACAGGTAGCTCCCTCTTAGTAACACAGCATATTATGCCTACCGTTTGTAACTAAGCAGTACAAGCCTGTGTATATTTTTTACATGAGTATCTAGTAGCTGTGAATGCCATTACATGCTTCTGCTAAGAAAATCCTAATTTTCACTGCATTCTGCATAAGTATTTTCCAGTTTAAGACAAAGTGCTACTGTAAGAAGTGATAACCTAATTGTTTGGCTAACACTGTTCTGACATCTAGGTCGGATCTGCCGGTGGAACGCATTACTCTCAGCACTGCTGCTAGTAAGAAAAATTGACCTTCAAGTCAAATCAAGCTTTCTGTTAAAAATCCCACAACTGAACACAGAATGTCATTGACAAAACATGAGCTTGAACTGTGTAAGAGTCTCTTAGCTTCCCGATACTAAAAGGAGTGATGGAATAAAGCTGTCCCTAATGAATTCCTATCAAATTCACAAGGCAGTGCTTTTCTGAGCTCCACGTTGAGAAGCAGCCTGTCAAAGAGTATTTCTGTATGTCCAGAATGACAAAACTTCTCAGATTCTGTTCTGCATTTGACAGCGCTTTGAGTGTCAGCTTCACTGTTTCACAGCAACTGCTTTTCCCAACTTGCCTTTTCTGCAAAAACTGACAAGATTCAAGTTTGCCAGTGTCCTACTATTTATAATGCTGCCTGCCTCCAGTTGCAGGTGAATACTCATTAGGTGGAAAGACAATTTTGATACTTCCTGACATTTACATCAAAACTCAGCTGGTACACCCTTACAGACCAGCTATGGTTGTCAGGTCTTTCCTGGGAGAGCACGGCAGAGCATTCACCCGAGTAGCTATGTTACCAGCGAAGATTTTTATCTTTAATCCACTCAGCTTTGACTGAAAAGTATTACTGTAGAGCAATCCACTATTCAAAATAGAAACAGAAGCCCTTGGGCACATCCCCAGAAGATGTAAGGATGACAAGTGCCAAACCTTAGCCTCTATGGCACCGTTTCTTTCCTTTTAAACCCGTCGTTGTACATTACATTAGGCAATCATTTCTTTCAGAGAAACAGCTTTCATTCGGATAGCGGACCAGCTCTTCCAACTCATCTCTCTCATTCAACAAGACCTGACAGTACAAAGCAAATACACTTCAGGAAAAAGATTGCTTTGCACTCCTTTCAAGAATTTCCAGGAACACAGGCCAAACGCAAAGAAGCTCCAACGTACAGCCTAACCACAAAAATCTTGCTCATATTATTTGCCAATCAAGCAAGCTACAAAGTGTGAAACCATTTTATTTTGGTTTAGATAGTAAGTCTTCCGAGGGGAAATAATTTGATTGGAAGTGTCAATCCCAAGTCCATTACAAATCACATTTTTTCAGGAGTAGTTTACCTCCTGGGAGCTCAAGTCATGCACTTATCTTCTTTCTGAAACCTATCACCATTCTGCTAGCTAACACAACCGCAGGATACACACAAATTCAGTTATAATTTAAAAATAAGGCCTACCATAGTAACAACTGCCTCTAGCATCAGAAAAGTGTAAAGAAATTGTGCAACAAGTACTTCACAGCACCAGAAAATTCTGGCCAGGTAACCAGGTGTAGAGAGCCAAGGCAACAGTTAATTCTGGCAGGCCTTTACTGCCAGGGAGCCTGCAGCGTTATTGTGATTGGTATCAACAAATAGATCCTGCTTTGGGCATATGGAAGTGGATCACATATCAAAAGTAAGAATTAGGGAGAAAAACCTTACTCAATAGAAAGTTAGCCCAATATATAAAAAACGTACAAATGTTTAAACAGTTTAGAGGCAGCAACAACAGGAATGATAAAGATTCCTGCCAAGGTGGCTGTTAGCGTCAACGTCTTTTTTTCCCCCCACCTTGTTTTGCACCTGTATCTATTAAACTAGTTGATGTGCTGCCTCAGCCTGCTGACAAACACATGGACATACGCAGCAACTTAAAAGTCTGCAAGCTTATTAATACAGTCAACAAACAAATATACAGAACTTTAACTGAGGGAGGAGGGGAAAAAAAAAGGAAAACCAGAACCCAAAAGGTCCAAGAGGCTCAGCATGTCTCTGCATTTTAGAGTCTTGGAGAGACAGGAGACACCTGCCACTGATTCTTGTAACAGTTTCTTGTAACAGTAGATGCAAAGCAACAACAGATACTGGCCACTTGACTTGTGTTGTTCTTACTTTAGAGGGGAGGGGTAATTATACAGCCCTGCCTCAATGCGGCATGAAGCAGTTATGTTACACTCTCAAAATCTCCAGGCAGTTGTTGTAGCAGATAGCTATCCAGTCTGGCTGAGTTGATGCCCACTGTACATTGTTGATTTCTCCCTCTGCTGTATAGGCCAAGATAGGGTCCTCAATGGCACGAGGCATTTGCTGGATATCCCAGATGAGAGCCTGATGGTCATCCGCTGCAAATGGAGGAGAGAACTGGAAGTAAAATTAAACTATACCAAGATCTCCATACGTGGTTACTAACAGGCATATAGTTCAAGAAGCTCTATAGGATATGGCTGTTGCAGTCCTGATGAGTATTCAAGCCAGAGATACAATAATACAACTATGCTCCAAAAAAAGAATCTTAGATCACTATACATTATCCATGAGAGAGCTGAAAACCAAATGATCAGTGGAACTCACATCAATTGAAAACATTTAAGAACTAGATTGCAAAAAAAAAAATAAGGAGCACTAAAATAATACAGCTTATGTGCAAAGGAGATGCACAGTTTGGGCACTGGGCTCACTACTTCCACACAATAAGCTCCAGTGGGTGTCTATTTCCGTAAAAATCATTAATAAAGGGCTTCTAAACCGCAGGTATTCTTTAGCAAAAGGCAGGCAGAGAACTGCATAAACTTTTGGAGAGAGAGGATTTTGCAAATAGAGTGAGAGACTCTCAGAGACCCCCCAGCACAGCTGGATAGGGATGGATCACACTCACCTGCTGTACAAATGTGGCAGGAAGAATGAGGTGCCCAAGCAATTCCATTTACACACGCTCTGTGGTTGTTTAACCTGGCAACAGGAGTGCAGGGAACTCTGACATCTAGAATCACAACCTTCAGAAACAAAAATCAACTAAATTAATAACTTGCATTTTTTTATTTGTTTCTTCAGAAAACCAAGTGCTTTGAGCCAAGGCTATAAATACAGCCCTTTCCTAAAGGATGCGGTTGGCAAGCAAACACTGTTATCAAAGAATAGCTTCTTGCTCGTTAGTGTGTCTCAAGAAGTCAGACCTTACAGGGAGAGCTTGTGAGTCAGGTAATGGGGGCAAACAAATAGTGCCTCCCTGAAGCAGCACAGGTGACAAACTAAGATACCCGGCCTTGTGCACTGAACTGAGAAAGAACAAGGTGATTCAAACCCTTGCAGTTAAGGTTTTATGTGAAAACTATTGCCCAACCGGCTCAGACCCCTCTTGAAAACCAGCTGAAATCCACACAAGCCATAGAGATCTCAAAGTTTATAACGCCAAAGTTATCCCTTTAACTCCTACTGAGGTTAGTGCACTAAGAATTGGTCTGGTCCTTAATCATACTCCAGGTCAGGTACTGACCCCACTCCCTTACTGTAAAGAACTGACTACTAATTAGTACCAAAGCCACCTCCCCAAAAAAATCACAACTGCTAGCACCTACAGAAGACGAGCTGCTGCCTTACCTCCATGCCGTCCATGGCCATTGTAGCAAGATAGTTGGGATCCTGCTTATTCCAGCAGAGACGCAGCAACGGATGGTGCTGTGGGTCCTCATAAATGATGGTGCTGTGTTCCAGATGACGGAGATCGAACATCCTCACTGAGCCATCTGCACCAACTGAAGCGAACATATCTCTCCCACCACCTGCACGGCTAAACGCTATGTCATACACCTGCTCAGCAACAGGGCAGAGAAAAACACAACCATAGTTTTAGTGAGCACCCCGCCTCCTGATTCACAGTAAAACGGATTTTACGTATGGATAGCAGATCTAGTTGCGACATATCTGTCAAATACCTGATGTTCCTAGCAAGTTTTTAGTTATTACACTTGACAAACGGAGGGGAAAAAACCCTTAAGGGTTATGTCATTATAGGATCATTCACTGAAACTAAACATTTCAATATTCCAGACTCAAATTTTTTACATTAATTGCTGAAAAGTAATATTATGTTAAGACCAAAGAATCTGGCAAGTTGTTTATTGCCTTTGATATGTGGTTGATTTCAATTCCAGTTTGATGTTTTACTTCATTTTTCTAAAATATTCTGAAGCATGATCTAGTAAAACAAGCATATTCTCAGTGAGAATGATGAGTAAACAGAGTAGTTTTGATAGCCAAAAGTACAGTTTTAATTAGTTTGGTACTCAAAACTGTATATCTTAATCTTAGATAAATTATCTTTTAGGATCATTAGGTTTTTCAAGAAAAGTGAGGAACACAGAAGAGTTCTGTTCCTTTTCTACTGCTTAAAAAACATGCAACGTAAGCAATCAAAAAAAGCTGTCACCTCTTTGTCATGCGCAATAAGCTGGGTCTTCACATGGCCAGAGACCAGATTTACTCTTCCCAGAACCTGTCCTGTCTCCAGACCCCAAATTGTGCAGGTTGTGTCAATACTAGAGGTACCTGAAACAAAACCACTTCTGTTAGCAAAATTAGTATTATCACAAATTATTTAATCACTTACTGGATTAACGTAATATCCCACAACACCTAAAGATCGAAATAGCTACAGAGCAGCATACAATTAAAAATCAAGAATGTCAAACAGCCAACAGTCTACCACGCAACTCAATGACCCAACCTTTTAGCTGTAGAAATAGTCTTCCACACAGGAATAAAGTGTAAATAGCTCATGTCTACTTTAATCTATTCAGAAGCCTGATGCAACTCCGAGATAAACTTTCCCATCCTGTAAGACTCATGTGCGTGCCAGAACCAAAATGCAATCATAGTGTTGCGATAGCGCATTATCATTAATTGATTGTTTCTGTGGACTGAAGGTGGGGCTAGCAGTAAAGCTCTTAAGAGATGAGAGATGCAACACGCAAAAAAATAAATCATGTAGTAAATAATTACTAAGACATATTATCGCTGTTAATCTCTGGGCAAATCCCCCTGACATAAATGGCTGCGCTCTTCTGGGAAACAAACCTCTGCTGGATCAGTCATCCTGGATTCACGGTTTGTCCCATGGGCTATAATTAAACCTTAAGCATTCAGCCCCCTCCTCCAACTGAATTAAGGGCTCCTGGCTTTACTCCTGCTGCTGAAATGGCTTCAGAAAAGACAAAGCTCGGTACATGGTTTTCTATCCACTCCAGAACACACTGAAATAAGTCACAGCAGTTCATGTACATCTTTGCTGAGCACTACAATGACAGCTCACCAGTCCTGAAGACTGAGACTCCCTGTCTGTAAATAAGGAACATCCCTAGTCCAACTTGAGTGACCCATTCTGTACTTTCAATGCAAAAAAAGTCTCCATGAGCTGCTCAGTTTTCTTTTTTTTTTTGTTTGTTTTGTTTGCTTTTTAACCTAAGACAATGTCAGTTTCTACAATGTAGAAGTTTGTCCACTGGTTAGTTATCAAATTAACCAGTGCAATGACACAGCAGTCAGTCACAGGTCAGACTTCACCGGAGTAAATTCAAAAGCATGATTCTCCATGCTGAAAACGTAGCTTTTTGCCAGTCTCACCTAGAAGGTAAGGATCCACCTCATTCCAGTCAAACGATGTTAGTGGAGCACAGAAGTCAGAGTTCTTGTTATTGTTCAGCAAACACTCCAGCCGGGTCTCTGTTTCACCCACCTTCAGAAAAAGTGAAACATCTGACTTAAATAGCAATATCACATGACTTGTTCCACTTGCACTTCCAAAACATAAGGTGTTAATCCTGGGTTTCTTTCCTCTCAGCTTTACATCCTAAAGTTCTGGAAAATACAATCACCATCTCTATCATCAATAAGGTGGTTAAAACAGCAACTACACAGTAATTCTGCTTCTCCTATAGTCTTCACATTATTGCAGTTAAGAAAACAAATTATCAAGTGCTCTGACTTGATTTTATGTCTTAACCTCCACACTGAAGCAAGGGCAAGACACCCTGAAAGGAAAATAACTCACTTCAAAAAATCTGGTCTCAAGTGAAAAAGAGATCAGTATGCAACACAATTAATACCATGGTTCATCTTTTTCTAGGGAGGATTTACTCACCCTCCACACTCGCAGATAGTCACCACTGGTTGCCAAGAGGTCTGGATATACTCCCTTGGTGTCCGGGATCCACATGAGCTTTGTGGTAGGGTAGGGGTGATCAAAGGTGTTCCTGCAAATGAATTCTGAGCTCTCTTCATCCAAACCAACAAGCTGCACCTGTAAGAAGCCATATTTAAAAGAAAGCATTGTATCAAAATACTTATTTATAATTACAGCATTAAGACTCGAGTGTATTTTGGAAGGACACCTCCTGTAACCTCAAGGACAATATAAAAGGACCATCACGTCAATGGAATGAGAAATCATTAAAGCTTTGCTTCCTAGCTGGGGCATGTAAGCGAAGTGAAGTATACATAATCACCACAGTGCTTTGCTTTGAAGAGATGATCTCAAATGAATTGAAATCCAATCTTAAAGGATTAAAGACCACCCTTCTCTTTCCCACACTGCAAAGCCTAGTTTAAATCACAGACTTAGACGGCACAAGCATTATTCCAACTCCTCTTTAACTGAGCCGATGCTGACAATGTCATCTTCAGAGAGCAGGACAAGCTGTAGTGCGCACGACAACCACCCCCAATTAAAGCCCATATCACGGAATTCTCGGCCATGACCCTGCAGATTGTGACAGATCATGTCACTAGCTATCAAGCTGTTCTCAGCATCACATCACCCAAAACATTCTGTCACAACTGCATGAAATTAAGACACAGATTAATCACATCAGAGTCAGAAAGTAAAATAGAATTCAAACTTAAAACAAGAATTGGCAAGCTACAATATTTACATAATTATTCAAATGTTTTGTGTGAAAAGACCAAGAAGGCAGGTCTGCTGAAAGATTCTAGGTAACTGAATTCCAAATCAGGTTTTTTGCACAGTGATGGCACAGTGGGAAGGGCTGACTTGCCCAGTTGTGAGAGCAATGTAAGATACAGCAAACAGGAATGATCTCCACATAGCTCGGTCATGACAACACCTGAAGTAATGCTTGAAGTCCCAGACATTATGTTATTAGAAAAATATTGACATGTCAGAAAGTGTTCAGAGAACAATATGGTGCTGGGAGGATACCTTTAACCTAGCAGTGACTACAAGACCTAGACAGGATGAGAGCCCCACTGTGCTGAGCGCTGTTCAAACACAAACATTATGGGGACAACTCACTACAATTAGTTTGTAGCTGCTCACAGCAGGAAATTCCTAGTACTTTCCACACAGCAGCCTCCTCCTGGAAGCAGTGGCTTAATGGACTTTTTTTCTAAGATGTTTATCTGGAAAAATCCTAAATATTCTGAGGTAAACAATCTGGTGAATAAACTACACATTTAACTAGATCAGAAATCTACCATATTTTTTTTCCACCTAACAGAAAACCAACAAATGCTTTGGTGGATCTTAAACTATAACATGAGCCGTTATGAGCCCATTTAGAGATGCTCTTAACAAATGCAAACCTTGCCCCCTGCCACAATGAGACAATCCATCCTTTTCACCCCACAACAAATCCTAAGAGATGTACCCAAGTATGCTTCTAAAAACCGTGTATTTGTCTGCCCTGCACCCTCTTTATCACAGCTACTCTTTATTACACTTCACACTCTAGTATGAATCAGTGAAGAATCTCCCAGTCTTCTGAAGTGATTGACAAATAGCTTTCTGACTCCTTTAGGGATCAGAAATACTAAGCGGATTTTACAAAGAAAGCAAATTGTCCTTGGTGATACAAAATCGTGTGGCAAGGTCAGGATCAGAAGACAAATGACCTCTAATCATTTCTTCTCATTTGCTTATGCTGTTTTCAGCTCAATATGAGTGTATTAAACCTACACAAAGCAATCAACATACTCAGAACCAGAAGCAAATCTCAAACAGCAAAGGACCCACTTTCATTGGTGTGAGTTTACACCTTCCTGCACTGCGCATTCACGTTTAACCCCTCCTCAGATCTGAAGAAAGAGCCATGATTGCGTAGCAATCCAGTGTCTTTGTGATCTTTGACATTTTTAGGTGCAGGCCGGGTTAGAGAACAAAAACTGCATTAGCAACACCAGAGCTCCTGGCAACTGCTGAAGATCAGGTGTGTGACACTGACTGTCAGACCTGGCAGCAGCCTGTGGTAACTCGGAGCAGGAGACGCTGGTCTGCTGGGAGACAGGAGCAGCAGATACCGCCTGAGCAGCTCTGTTCTTTCCTAGCTCAGCACATTCAAAGGTATGCCTCTTCTCTTTGGACCTGATCACAGACAGTGATTACAGAATCCCTCCATTCATCCTCTTGAACACGAGGAGATGAACGATGGAATTCTTTGCAGGATGCTGATTATATTAGAGCCCTGCCTCTCCCTCCTGCACGCGAGGCAAGATTTGCTGCTGCCAGCTACCGCACGGAGGAGTGCCTGAAGTCCAGCCCAGGTAAGACTGAGGTGACGCCAACAGGAAAGGAACTGTCAGCCTGGATACAAACAGAACTATTCTACCTGTAGCTCATTCCAGTGGGAAAACCAAGACCAGTGTGTTTGATCTCCATTAGTTTTGTAATTACACTACAACAGTAGGTAGGAATGCTTAAACAATTCTTTATTTCTCCAATACATCAAGATAAATTGGATGTGGATTTTCCCATCACAATCCAAGCCTTTATCAATTTAAGGCTTAATTGCAACAGTGCATCTGAGTCAAGAAGTGCCTTTAATCAGCATTCCTTAACTCCTAAAAAATTACATCTCTCTCCAACATGATCCAAAAGAATCAGACACAGAATTAAACAATGCAGAATTTGGTAACAGCTTACTTCTTTTTCTTGCATGGTTTGAAGGACAGTTAAGTAAGTCTACAGTACTTTTTTTTTTTTTTAATAAAAACTCTCTATATCCCTTTAATCTAATTAGTAACTACTAACAACAATATTTCACAATTATTTTAGGGTCACGTACAATCAGAAAGATCTCTCTGCACCAATTAATCTTCAACATGCAATCTATTTTTCTTTGCAGCTCTAAACCTTACAGAGAAAATGACCCTCTGGTGAAACAGCCCCCCTGAACGCTCTCTGATTCGCAGCGCTGTTCAGAAGGGGCAACCTGGGGAGCACGTGGTCATGACCCGTCAGTCGGCTCCAGCCGTGGGAGCGAGCAGTGGACAGCACCACCCTCTACCGTCTTCTAAACTGGACTCCAGTTTCGTCTTGCAGATAGATCCCCAAATCAGCCTTTCCTGACATTTCCTGATCCATGAAGCCATAACCAGGAGCCTGCAGAACCGCGTTAACAGTGAGATTTATGAACTCCTCCGTTCCCTCCCATTACACCAGGGATCCACAAGACATTATAAAGGCTGACAGCAGTTTCCTAATCCAAGAAGTTCAAGAAACACTACCCCAAGTAATTTTAATTCTTCCAACTGGAGCAAGTAATCACTCTTCTTGTACCAGTGATTTGATCAGCAAAGGGGTAGAAGCTGCAACAAAATTCCTTTGGGGTTCAAACAGTTCTTGGCAACTAGCCTTCTGGTATGCTGTACAGCTTGATAGCATGGGGGCCGACAGAGGTTATAAGAGTCTGGGAACTGGGGACAGCAGTAAATTAGGGTTTGGCAGTCAATTGATTTGAGTTCCCCACGAAACACAGGTGTAAACAGGCATTTTCTATATGTAACCCAGAAGTACTTCAAGCTCCGGTAATTATTACAGAAATAGAGAATCACGGAGACAAATGAGACAAGAATCTCTCCTCTTTCTTTCACTGTAATTCCCTTACAGTGAGCACTTCCGCTGCCATGAACACTTGGTGCATTAAGCCTTTTTAAAAGAATCTTTTTAAAAAGAAACCCTATAACAGAAGAGTAACAAGGAAAAGGAAGATTCACCTATTTGGTTAGATTTCAAGCAAGCTAGAATTGCTACTCCAGGCTATTTTATTATTTTTTTTTTTAGTGTATTAAGGGTAAGGAAGAAAGCCAGTTATTTGGAACAAGTCATTGCAACATCAGGAACAGAAATGTTGTTTGGAGCTTGTCAGAAACCTTTAAAGTTATGAGCGCAAAGAGAAAGCTGAAATGAAAATGAGTTTTCATTATCCTTTTAATTAGTGCCAACTGTACCTACAAGTGTATTTTGATGTCAGAAGCTGGCAATATAAAACATCTCAACTGTGAAGGGCAAATTATGCAGGAGGACAAAGCCTTCACACACACCCTGAAAAAATCTTAAATTTCTGCTTACCCCAGAACTCAGGCTAGAAAACCAACTGCTCCAGACCCTTTGCAGCACAATGTTATGGACTACTTAAACAGGGTAACTCCAGTTCTTTCCCTTTGTTCCTTTAGTTACACCACTTACACGGACAAAAGCTGAAGCTGAAAGTTTCCAACTAGCGTGCACCTAGCACAATCGCACACTATCTGTCCAAGAGCTCCCAATCTGGAGCATGAAGCTATTCCCTGAAAGTTCCAGTACCCTCTAAAAGATTCAGCAAAGCTGCAAGAGTCGTACTAAGATGTCATAAAGGCAACGCAGATGAACCACCACTCCCAAGCTTGTTCTGGTCCCCAAAGTCATGCAGACAACATCAATACCCTAAGCAATAACAACACTTGCAATTACCCAAGCCAGCTCTGTTAACTCTCTCCCTACAGTGGAAGGCTGTACCGAAGCACTACAAAAAGCATCAAACAAGAAAAACACAACACCATCCGCCTCTCTTTGAAATATCAGACACACAGCAAAACCTCTCAGCAAAGCGAAGGTTACGTTTCACTGCATTTATTGTACAAGCTTCATTTTTAATCATACATCAGCTTTATTTCTATAGGAGCAGCATCCAGACTGGCATCTCATTCTCACGCATTAGTTTCCAACTCTTTACACCACATAGATCTCATAGCATGTGGTGCTTATATGGACTGAAGTCAACAGAATAGTTATTCCTGAAGCTCAGAGGTCAAGAGAAGCCCTGGGGAACATTTACAGAGAGCAGGAATTTACCTAGTCCTACACAACTTCTGCCTGCAACAACTGTGAGTGCAAAGGCTAGAAAAGAGAGGGGTTGACTCAACTGCTTTACACTTGAAGCCTGATCATGCCATAACTGAGAGGAATCCCAGGGAATGGTCCAAACTTAAGGAGGTAAAGGCAACATAAATGTATACCCCCTCATTAACCAATTCTACCACCTCTAAACAAAAAGCTGTTTGCAAGTTTGTTACTTCATCTTCCCAGAGTACAGGCTACAAAATCATTTTCAAGTTGGTCTTTAAACAAATGGAAAGTTTTCGAGCTCGAGGATCTGCCTTTCCCCAGCAGTACTCTCAGAACCGCAACAGCGCTCACCAGCATAAGGAGACAACTCATACTGGCTGGACTACAAAGTGCTCAGTAGAAGTATCATGTCTAAGACTGCTGCAAGTGCAGTAATTCAACCACCGTACGAGATGTCACCCCTGCCTTACTGTTGCCTCCTCTCATGACATCCTCGCATAAAGCCCAATCCCCAACACCAACTTCCTGACATTATTTTCCACAACCTCCACTGAACAGCTTGACAGAGCTACCAAGCACACACACTATAAACACGTAAAGCTGTATTTGCAAAATCTTAGTTTCACAGAAATTTCAGCATGCTCTATAGTTATGTCCATTTCCTCATCTCTCTTCCATTTATGTGCATTCATTGTATCAAACTAGCACACTAAAATCTGTTCAGAAATGACTGTGTAAGTGTTTAGAGGTGAACACGTAGTCTCTTATTACCAGTGTAAGGTTCTCTGCTTATATCTGGCAGGGAACCACCGAAGATATAATCTCATGCCTCATTACACTCTTGTTCTCAGAGAAAAGTAAAGGTACCAAGGAATCAGTGGAAGTGGTTTAAATACTTACGAAAAAAGTTATCATACAGAAGTTGTCCACAGCAAGAAAGTACAAGAACGGCACAACATTTCCAACACAGTCTCAACACATCCTGTATATGTGCAAACTTTAGTCCTGGCCATAAACTTTCTTTCATACTGAAAAAAACCCAGGTATGCTCAAGCTAGGGGACTTTCCTGGCTGAGAGGCAGCCAGCAGCAGCCCCCATGGCTCTTCCCACCCCCAGTCCCTCAGTCTCCCAACAGCTGGGGACTCGCAGGAAGGAAACCAGCCTGAATTTAGGCCGACACCCTGCACTTCAGAGGAACGTCTGAAGGCTCTACACAGCTCCCAGCGCCGACAGCAAGGCACGAAGACTCCCTCCAGCCACACCAACCGTGCCTGGGACTGGGCGGCGGCTGTAACCCC